ATTCAGTTTAATATTTTTCTTTAACATTTTTTAAAAAATTAGTTTCTGGATAAGCAAATTGTAACAAAAAAAAAAAAAAAAAAAAAGGAGGGAAAGGGAGATGTAAGATTTACTAAGTAGTAACTATCATTAAAATTGAAAGTGTATTTTACATTTTTGTCTGAGGACAATACGATACATATTAACAACCACACATGGGAAGCTTTTCCACCACTCCAAAAAATAATCATATCCATGAGGTGAAAACATAACCGTGAGTCCAAGGAAACATGGAGCTGAAAAAACAGTTCTCTGATGGAGAGTGAGCCAAAAGTTATAGGAATGTGAATAAATATCAGTCACATACATTACTTGAAAGAGGATTTTTTTTTTCCAACTGAAAACACAGTTTATTTCATAGCAAAACTATGAGTACAAATACATGAAATACTAGATTACATGGAGAATCTGATAAAAAATCAGGTGCAAACTCTTTATCTGCAATGCTCTTTTATCTGGCCGGCTCACTTCTCATTAACAAGAAAAAAATAACACAAAAAAGCAGCAATTTTTGACAAGCAGATACATAGGGAACTTGAGATAGCTCTGCATATATTAACTGGATACGTGTCTGTGTGGATAAACACAACAATACATGTACATTGCACACACTGCATTAAGGAATATGCTGTTTACCTGGGTGCATAGCTATACATGTATTTGACCTAAAATCCGCCGTGCACAGACAGAGGATTTCCACATAAATAAGAGGTGAATATACATGTAACAAAAATGCAGCTATACCTGCTTCTACAGCCATGACTGTGTGCACACAGTTACCTGAGTCAAGCCTAGAAGTAAAAGAAGGAACATAAAATGTGAAAGAACACGTAATAAGTGGAATGTCAAAGCTGCAGAGACTGTTGGTGTCATCCCTGCGCTATCAAACATACATATGAGTATGATTGGAGACAGAGAGGCTAAATATTTCACTGTCAGAGCATGTCGAGAAACGCAATTCATTTCTCTCTCATGTGCTTTAGGACAATGACAATTTAATACAAGGCCAGTGGATGTAAAAGAGATAAAAACTGAACAAACTGGCCCAGCATAATCACACATTTCCTCTAGAGAGCCTGGCAGCATGATGCTCATATGCACTTGTAATGGATCAACATTTTATTGTTTCTCCCCTGAATGAATTTGCTATGAAGAAGGATTCGGAGCAAAGCTTATCTTATAGGCAGAGGTTACTTTAAGCTTCAGTGGGAGAAAGAGTTCTTCCCAGTATTTTTCCTATTTATTCTATGCACTTCACTCACGCTAAGCAAAAAATAATTGAGATACTTCTTGGAAGGTTCAATTAAGTATCTTCATTCCAACTCACACTTTCAAAGGGGTGCAAGTAACCTCCCTGCAGGTCAAGGGTCAGTCTTTTAGAGATATTCCACAAATTAATAATTTCATTGCTTATGAATAATCCAGACTTTTGTTTTGCATTTTTATATCATAATTTCCCTCCGTAACATACAGAAATAACTGTATGGACTGACAGATCTGTGAGTACAGATATATCATACTTTTCAGCTACTCTAACTAAAGTAGGTTTCAGTATTGTTCAATATTATCATAGACAAGTTACCTTCTGTATTTGATGAATAGCACTGTGTATTTGAAATTAATTGCAAAAGTAGGGTTGGCTAATGAGGCAGCCCTTATCTTTTCTCAGCAGTGCAAGCACAAGTATTTTTCTGCTGGCTCAATATTTTCTAAATGCCCAAAGTGCTATTAACTAAGTTGAAATCTGATTAAAATAGGAAAATTGAAATATTCGCAACAGTTAAGGCAGCTCCAAAATAATAATATTTTTTTTAAAGCTGGAAAAATTCTTATCTCTCTTCTTATCATTAAGTATGTGTTTTGAAAAGTAATAATTAAACAAATTGCTCCCTACAGATTCTCCCAGTTGTTGTGCTTCCCATTAGCGTCTCTGGAAACAGTTTGTTAAGACAACAGTTATTCTGTATTATAGAACTGTGGGGATGGTGGCCTCATACCCGGCCTCTATCTAGAGTGAAATTTGTATGAGATGGTGAAGCTTAAGGACTGTGAGGAAAAGAGCAGCGTGCCTCAGGAGAAAAAAAAAAAAAAAAAAAAAAGGAAAAAAAAAAAGGTACAGAAAAAAATGATCAGCTATTCAAGAGAATTAATGGATATCCACAAGGGCTTTGCTAATAACATGGGTTAATTACTGCTGCAACGCACCAGGCTCAGTAAATAAAAGAGCACAACTATAAACACACTGAAATGAGCAACCAGCACTAAAAGAGGGGCAAGCCCCAGCAAACGTGAAGCTGTCAGGCGGGCATTTCAGCACAATCCCCTTCTACTTTGCGCAGGATTTAAAAACTTGCCGGCAGTCTATCAAAACCGAAAAGCCAAAGAGCTGTAACCGGAACCAGAAGCAGCAGAATGGCACGGGGCCTGCTGGCTGCCCACAGGCAGGAGCTGCTCGCTTGCCCACACTGGGCTGCCTGCACCCAGCTGCCTGGCTGTGCTGTGCACCAAGGCCCAAGCACGTCCAACTTCAGGGCTTTATGTCTTAATAGCAACTTGATCTGCTCGCTCGGAGAGAAATGCAGCGGGTTAAAGATCTGCACTGCCCAGAGGGACTGTGGAGTGGAAGCAAGCACCGCTTCCCACTTCGTAATAAGACTTCTTCACCCTTGCTCCCTTTTTAAAATGAAAGGTACTCTCGGATAAATCGTCTGGGAATGAGAAGCTAAGCCAAAGTACCCAAAAGAGCAACCAAACTGATATCAACTCTTACATTTCACACACGCAGTCGCACACACACACACACACACAGATGAATATTTACATGCTAACACCCATGAGTGTGCGCACAGCCATTCCACAGACCGTTCCCACACAAAACACAGACACAGACCACTATCACATGCAGGTATTTACTACACAAGCCGCCTACCTCCGCTTGCGTTATTTTTGTTGTTGTTGTTGTTTTTGTATTTTTAAGTGCTACGTCTGCTCTGCACAGCCTTCATTTCTTCTCGCCTGTGCATTCTACCTGCTGCTGGACAAAACAAAAATCTCCGCTCGCTATGAGCTGGGTGTGTTTGACGTCTGAACACCGGCGCACAGCGAAGTGCTGAGGTTCCACCTCACACTGTGAGCCACAAAGGGCAATGTACACAGTGCATGGAAGCTCTCTGGAGTTACAAATCTCCTCCGTTTCCTATGTTTGGCATACAGAGATGGCATCTAAATTTATTAAGCTGGTCCATGCTTCCCCCCCACACACCATTTTTTAAAGTGTTTCAATTGCCTTCCCCTCTCCCAGAAGCTCTGACAACTGTTAAAACAGTCAGTAAAATTAAGCCTGCTCTATAATCCTTCAGTCAACGTTACATTTTAATCAGAGGGTGAAGGAGATTTCAGGTTCCGAACGCACAGATTCATTTACAATGATTAAACTGACACATATGTCAAAACGAGGAGATACATTTATCGCGCCCGTTAGCTTATTAACTATTAGTAATTATTAGTGTTATTGTTATTGCTGAAAAAGCAGAAAGCCAGGGCTGCAGCTGGCTGGGAGTTACAGCATTCTTCAGCACACTGCCTTGAAATCAAAGCATACCTAGTGATGGTCAGGCAGATGTCTGCCTGTTCCCAGAGCGTTCTGGCAATTTTTAGCTCCAATCCTCTCTGCCCTCACCCATGCGAGAGAACCGCAGGAACTACTGTATTTATTTTCCTTACGCCCCTCGCTCACGAGTGCACGTGACGATATGGAAGTCGATATAAGTCAATTCACAATCACTACGAATATGAATAACGTGCAAAACTCCGGGGCTGAGGGCTTATTAGTGGGGACGGAAGGAGGAACGCGCTGAGCGGCGCTGCTCTGCGCCCACCGCTCGGGGAGGCACCGGGAGGCCGTTCCGATGACTTTTAATTGAGCCAAAGAGGAGGAAAAAAAAAAAAAGAACAAAAAAAAAAAAGAACAGAAAAAAGCACAACAACCCAACGAGTTGGAATCTTGCACCGGAGCCAAAAGGACATGTGCCCCGATTTCATTTCAATGCATCTCCTCTAAGAGGCTTATCTGAACTAATCATTCAAATTAGCTGTAAGAAGGTAAATTCAAGAAAGCTCCTTTGGAGTGGGGAAAAAAAGCTCTACAAGAAAAAAAAAAAAAAAAAAAAAAAAAAAAAAAAAAAAAAAAAAAAAAA